GTTTCGGTTTTACGTTCTTTTTTTTTTTATTTTTTTAAACTAAATTTTTAGTATACAAGGATGAAGTAGGAGGCTGGGCACCGCCCACCGAATTATCACAGTCGTCTGGTGCCGCAGCACATACGTATACGTGGTTCAGCCTTACAACCTACCTCTTAATCTAGCGTTATCTTACGTTCGTCTATCTCGCGAATACAGTACAGCCCCGTGCGAGGTGGGCTCGTCGAAGTTACGACAATCGCGTAAGAGGTGCGATTCTTCGTTTCATGGCTCGTCTTATTAGACTGCGATTACAACGCTTATTGCTTTATCGGTTCCGATTCGGGATAGCATACTGCGAATGATCTCTCTCTTCAAATCGGAAGGCAGCGTCGAGCAACTCTAGAGTTTAGATGTTTTTGCGTTCTTTTTTTTTTCTTTCTTGGCTCCTGTTGCAGCCGATATAATGTTTACAACAAACTGACGTGTCTCGACAGTCCGTGCACGGGAGCTATACTGCTAGCTGTCTGCAACTGATAATGTCGTTTTACTCATAAATCATATAGTATTCGTCTATATACTCCGCATGATTATAACTGATGTTACAATTAGGCGATTAGGCGGAAAATATAAAAAAATGGCTACGTTCGAGAGGCAAAAAAGGAGACTACCAATGTCTTGCAAGAGCAAGTCGAACAAGCTACTAATGGAAGCACTCTATCAACCGGCTATACATTCGGGCTACTTAAAACCCAGCCGCATCGACAGGCTATATTATATGGCACATTCCCCTCCTCTATGATCGAGTGACTAGTGTCAGCTTATCGTTAGAAAAAGCGACGGCGACGATAACGGCAGAGATAGACTATAACGAACGGCGAAAACGGCGCGAAGGCTACACGTTTTGCGGCCTGGTAAAGGAAGAGGAAGATAATCGTCAGCTTGGGGAGCGACTAATTCACGCTACGTTACTTCATGTCAGATCTAACAGGATCTCAGCCATTCAAATCTCGATGGACGGATCGCGTGGAAACGATAGATTGGAGAAAAGCATAAATATACACGCGTATGTGCATCAGGAAGAACGGTATGTACACGAGAATGCGTCGGTTTTGGCGAGCTTTGGATATCAAAGGGTTTTCGTTCTCGGCTTGCGTGGGAAAGCGCGAAGTGAACCGGTTGCCTTTGTCGCGCGCCGGAGTACACGATAGGGAAGCCTTCCGCTGGTAAAACGTAATGATCACATGTAGACAGCCAGTGCATTAAACGTTAATATTCAAAAAAGGTGTGTGTGCATATATATATATATATATATATATATATATATATATATATATATATATAT